TTTAGGGTAAGGATTTTAGAAAAAAGTATCGTCTTATAGTTGGAAAAATACGGTATATTTATATACCATTCAAAAAAGACAGTAAAAAAGCTAAGAAGGAAACAAAAAGACCAGAATACATCATCTCCAGCAGCCAATACTCACCTAAGCAGGGATCAACAACAATCAGGCAGAAAACAATACTCTAATCAAGGAACCATCAAGAAGGAAGCCACACCCTCACCAAAACTGGCAGGGCAAACTACTATATATAAACAGGCAGCAAACTCCACACTCACTAGCACTGATGATGTTACCTAGTTGGGTGATAAAATGTCTGCAAGCAAACAACCAGGTTCAGGAGCACCAAGGACTCCACAGTTCAACCCTGAGCTACATATATTCTCTTCTATCATTAACCAAGATTAAAAACAAAACCAGAAGCGATTTAATTTTGTTTGGAAATACCAACATTACACCTCCATCTCTGAAGCCAACTCCACAAGAAATTTTGACCAGAGATGTGGAGATCCTAAAATTCATTTTATTCTATTAATGCTTTGATTGGGTAGTTTTCTGATCCAGCATTAAAAAAAAATCAACAAGCCAGTCATGGTGAAATAGAAATTGCCCTTTATAAAAAATGTATAACATAATCAAGAAATTTCTTCCATGCTTGTTTAATCTATATGAAGCCTGGCACACTTAACAGAAGCACCAAGACCTTGGTATAAATGCTTCTTTCTTCATCATCCACTTCCTGGATTGACTTGTTTAATCCACAATTATTGCCTGCTTGTATGATCATTGCAAAAAGCACCACTAACATGAATCAGATTCTGTCCAATGATCCCAGCACTAATGCAAAAGCCATGTTTTAAAGCTGAATGAAAATGAAAAACCTCTTAACCATGGCAGACATTTCAAAAAAATAAGTGCATCCTCCTAGCTTCTCCACAGGAAGGTTAAAAACTGTCTAGATCAGGCTCACCCAACTTGTACAGATCAAGCTGATAAATTAAAAATAATTGCAGGCCACAAGGGAATACCTGGCACACCAATCAGCTGTTTGACAGCTAGTGGAACAGCAGCAGTGGTGGCATCAGTGAGGCCTGAAGGCATTGGAGATGCTCAGCGGCATGTTTTTCAAGGCAGCAGCAGCAGATCCTTACTTGCAGCAGCAACATTTGACAGCAGTGAATTTACTGAATATTTTAAAAATGCCTCTTGCCTGCGCAAGATGGCCCATGGGCCATATATTCTGCAGGCCTGATTTAGATTTTGCTTCCCCCATCATGGATTCCAATGGAGGTGACACCGCCAAATACATTCCAAAGTTTACTGCAAAATTCTTTTATATCTTAAGGTATGATAAAATAACAAAGGCTGGAAAACCTCTACAATGGAATAATGTGAGAAGGGCTCCTTTGTTGAGTTCCAAACTAAGATCTATCAAGCAAGTCCAAAAAATGGGTGTAGAAAAAAATAATCAGCAAACACAAAAACAAGACCCTGAATCTGGTACAGCATCAAACTGAAATCAACATGGAAGCTTTTGTAGTACATCTTTCAGAAACATGCCATAAACTTGTCAAGTCTCCATAGTAAGAATCCCCTTCCGGCAAAACAGGTAAGGAGATGTAGAAAGCAGACCAGAACCAAATGTTCAGCAAGTCAATTTAAAAAAGAGAGAGAAAGCCAAACTTACCACCATTACACGTGCTAATAATTCAGCTGGAATTGAACTTTCTTAACCATAGCTGCCAACGTTGCATAAACAATAATATGGTTATTTCCATATGCTTTGCTTAACACATCAGAAGTTTTGGCTTCTTTTGTTTCTTTTTCCTTCCCCCTGATCTGGCAGAAACTATCACTCAAGTTCTAGAGAGATCATTTCCAATAGCAGAGAATATACGTAGCTCAGGGTTCAGCTACACAAAGTCACCAAGAACCGAAGAGATAATTTCCATATAAGTCCAACTAAGCAAGACATGCAAATAATGGATTTATTTCATTATATTCATAACAGAACTAAAAAAAAAAAGACTTTTGCAGCCCCATTCTGGGAATGACTTGGTGAGCCACGTTCCAATTTTGATGACACTAAAATTAAAGTGGATATAAAGAATAAAGAAAAGAAAAGCAGGCATGTTCAAAATAAGCAGTAAGGATATGAATTGTGTACATTTGCAACTCCGCAGAAGCTTCTGAAAAAACACAAAAATCCTCCATCTTTCCCTCCATTCTTTTGATCATTGGCTTATAATATACTCTCAAAAGGAAAAATACATTTATATTTTCTGTTCCATGCATCACAATTTTCACAACAATAGGAGGCTCACTCGTAAATTGCTCTGCTCTGTTCATAGCCACTGCCCAAGCAAATAATAAACTTCTGCGGTCTAGGATGCAGCCATAATTTGTGGAGGGAAGCCACAGGCTGAGATTATTAATTTATTGTTATTAGGTTGTCATTGCAAAAAGTGGCTTCAAAAAGATTGCGCTTCCAGCATTAGAAAGAAAGCAAATCCCCCAACAATAAAATTAGTATGCCCAAAAAAAGCCTTCTAAAAAACTAAAACAAAAATAACATGTAGTCTACTGATTTCAACTGTTTTGAGTACAGAATCGGGTGTCTGCAGAGGGGTTAAAAAAGTCAAGATGGCCACAACCGTGTGATCAAAGCCCTGCCCCTCTTTACAGGCATTGCAGTACTGTACACATAAAAAGGGCAGGTCTTTGATCGCACAGTTGTGGCTGTCTTTTCTGACTCCCTCCTTGTGGACACCACAGGATGTAGCATTTTTATGAGGCAGGTTTTGCTGGGAAACAACACAAGGCAATCACAGGAAGTTTGTGACAGAATGCCCTAACTAAGAAACTAATGTAGGCCCAAATTTCATGTGAATACAATTTTTATCTCTTAAGGCTGTTACAAACAACTTGATTCCCTCCAACCGCAAGACTGGCACCTTGGCAGGGCAGGATTTGTAGAGGCATTTTATCCCTTTGCTGTCCATTCCAGTTTTACTTTGAAAACTGAGACCTGTATTCATTATTTGCTGACACAAAAGCACTCTCATTTATTCTAACTGAATTTTTTGTCCATATAAATAGTCAGTACAAGATCCCCCATTCAGATCAGAGGTACCCTGGGGCACAGTATTAAATCCTCTTGGATCTAGATCAGGGGATCCTTTTCAGAAAACTACAGATTATAAATTGAGCTATAGGCTTATGTACTGCTCAAATCCAAACTGCTGTCTAAAATTAATCTTCCTGGCCTTCTGGAATATACACTGATGAGGATGCAGGATCAAACTGATTAGGACTTTCAAACATTAAGATGTCAGATTGGGACACACTTTACCTAGCCTTTATAGTTCTTCAGGTAGACAATCAATCCCTAAATATTTTAAATTAAAAATACATAAAATACAAACTAGATGAATCAGAAATAGTAAATAAACAAATTGTAAAAAAAGATGTGGAACTTGTAAAGTACTGTGTTTCAATTTATAAAATAATAAACAAGACAAACAGCTGATTAATTTTGCAAATATATTCGCTGCTGCCATTCATTCCATACAATACAGTATGTCAAACAATCTGAATTTGCTAAGCTACACAGTCATATCACATTTACAGGTTTCAGGAAAGTGGAAATAATGTACAGGTTATTAGCACAATTAAAAAGGACATGAATGAAGAATTTTCAAAGCATACAGAGTCAGCAACAATGCATGATAATTGCAAAACACAGTTCAGTTTATGGCTATACACTTTTTTTTTAACAATAGAAGCCATTATGTTTAAAAAGGAATTATCTTTTGCATTCCATATCCACTGACGCCGTTTATACCGTACGGGATATATCCACATAAAAATGCAAAATTCAGAGTTAGTAAATAAATAATAGAGAAAAGATAGCGTGCAATTTACAGTTGGGAAAAATTGGGGTTATGAACTCCAGCAATAAGCTTCACAGCTCAGCTGTCCTTGTTTTTCCGTTAAATTTTCCTTTTTCTACCTACCAAATATAATTTGAAATTGAAGCTTTTAAACTTTTTTTTATATCAAGGACTGATGAACACAAATACTGTTTACGTAGGTTAAAACCCACCTAGTGGCAATTTTACCACTACAACAAGAACTCTAAATACAAATCAAGCTGATTATTCCTCTACACCTCAACCCAATGTGCAGAAAGATTTTAGTGGCATAACCAAGGCATGTTATAGTTAAACAAAACAAAACAATAATGGGCCACTCCCTGTCCTTCAAATACTGGAGAAAGTTTACATATACACAAATAAACATTTACAGTGTAATCATGAATGCAGTTTTCCACTTGCTATTATTATTGGGTGTAGTTTTCCAATAGTTTGAATCACTACTATCTGATTTAAGAGACAAAAAACATAGCTATACCCAAGCCTCCCCTATCTTGCACACACAATCTTAAAATGAGTTATTTTAAGAAGATTGGTTACTTTAGCATTGGATCTGTGGTTTTTTTTTATTGTCTGTGTACTATTATTATTTATGGAAGTTATAATGATGTTTTAGACTGTATGTGTAATGTTTGTATTTTATTATTGTTGTTTTGCATTCGTGTGGTGAACTACTGCATGCTGGTTTGATCAGGAGTGAACGGGATAAAAATAAGTTAAATAAATAAAATAGTTTCTCTCTTATCCAGTTACTGCATATAGATTAAATGCTAGATGAACAGCATACCTCGGGAATGGAGCTCAAGTATTATTTATAAATAACTTTATAAATAACTAAATCTGCTGTATCATGAAAACATATGCATTCTGCTCACAAACTACATTAGCTCCATTTTAAATTCCCCAAATGCAATGAAATGGGGAAAACACATATGCCATCTAAGAGGGGGAAAATGGTCCTATCACTGCTTGTTTTTTAAATCCTGCATCAGTTTGGTCCTAATTACTGAATTTTTGTTACAGAAAAAGAGAAAATATATTTCATGGGCCCATTTGAAAGATCAGGTACTGACAATGTTTAAAATTGGTACAACCTTTAGTAAGCCAACAGCAGCAAAAACCGGGGGTGGGAGGGAGAGAAAAAAACCCTAAAGCACTCTTTTACAAAATGGAATAGACAGAGTGTTATGAACACTTGTAGCCAATCATTTACGTGTTTATTTGGGCAATGTTCTCGGGGGTTTAAATTCTAGTAAGGCTGTTTATGATTGCAGTCTGTAATTAGGTTACAGCAAATTCGCCAGACAAGCTGAGAATTCTGGGAGTCACCCATACATCAGCAGGTGCCAAGCTGAGAAAAGGTGGATGAGCACATGCTAGCTGCAAAGAAGAGTTAAGACTGCACCAAATGCTAATAGGAAAAAAATAAACTTTAAAAACATAAAAGCTAGGAGTGATTTGAATCTGTTGGTTGCTATCTACTCATTCCAAGGACACGAACAGGGTAGGACTTCCATTTGTTATCTGAAAATACCCAATCTCACAGTTACTGCCTGATTCATATTGCTTTTAAATCTTACCAGATGTCATTTACTTACTTACTTACCCTGGCCCTGTTTACAGCTTTCCTATGAAAGATGCAACAAGACAGATTCTTTCACTAATGTAGAGCAACATCAGCAACTAAAAAGAGGACAAGCTGTAGAATTACTTTGGCTGCCTCTTTTTATGGAAATAAATTAACTCCAAATGCTAAAGAAATCCCTTACTTCAGACATTCTTCTTTGTCCATATAACTATTCTCTTTTTATAGGAAAATTTAGTTGGGCATGTTCACAATTGCTTATCAATTCACAGATGATCAAAATGCAGTTTTAAGATACCATTTTCCTGCTTTAGTATTCTTACACGTATGCTGGACCTTTTTTAGGTTAACTTTTCAATTTAAGAGTCAGCAAGAACACAGGTATTGACAGAACATTGATCCATCTAGTACTTTATTATTTGTACTCACTGATACTTGAGCCTTTTAGACCAAACACTATATGAACATTGGACAGACTGAATATGGGGCCTTCTGCCTGTCCCTGAGCTCTTAAAGATCATCTGACTAAACAAAATGTTAATTTTATTCTGTGAACTCAGTAGCCAAAGATTTATGATTTATTAAAAAAAATGGTGTATCTAAATTCATCTCTTTATGTCTTCATCAGTCTAATTTTAAACCTTCAGCTAAAAGGGGGAGGGAGGCTCTCATGGTGACCAAATAAATACAGGAAACAATTGTAGAACTACAATAATAATTTATGGAAAGAAAATCCTAGTTCCTAGAACAGGAACTAAAATTAGCCCATTAAAAGACTAGGCATGTTCATGCACAAAGAAGCTGAATCAAATTTTGAAGTATGAAACAGAAAATGGAAAAGAGGGGAATAGAAAGGAGTATCCTGAAAGAAAGCTTTGGCATTGCTGACAGCATACGGAAGAAGCAATCCACTCCTCAGCATTTGTACAAGCTATTCACTTCAAGCATCATCCTCACCAAGAGACATATTCAATCTCCTCAAAGAGATCTCCATCAAGATGGTGCAGATGAGCATTTACATGAGAATATCTCTAATGGGGCAAGCAAAGGCAATGTGCCTCCATCTCCCTTGGTGAATCAAAGCCACTACTGGAGAAGAGAGTTGGAATTAACTTCCGGGAGCTAAAACCAAAAATGCTAATACCAATCCCAAGAGGAGTCATACAAACTCCATGGACATGATTCATCTGGGTGCTCAGGGATCCACAGCATTAGGCAGCCTACCCAGTGCAGTAACAATCAGAGCCTATCGCATAATCATTTCCAGACTCCTCCAGGTAACACAGGTGAAAGGCAGCAAGCAACTGGGAAATGGTATTTGGGCCTTTTCTCAATCTTCTTGGAGTAGTAAGCAATCAGAAATATAGTAACAATGAAAGCAAAGAGTATGAATGATATAAACGCCAACAAAGATTTTCTAGGTTGCAAAGATTCACATTCTGGGCAGTGAAGAGCCTCTTTGGGGCAAACCCGGTCTTGGTTTCCTGAGCCAGGCAAGGTGTTATTGTCAATTATCTGCCTATAATACATCAGCGAAGGTTTTGCTTCATACTGGTTTATCACGTAACGATAGAGACCATATGATCTAGAGTCCCCTCTGTCACTGAAAGAATAGACAAAATAGCCATGGAGATTAACATCATCCAAGGTGTAGGCTGCAAAAAAGAACACATAAAAGAACAGAGGAACAAAAAATTAGTGGTGGGTTTATTTTAGCAACAATCTTATCTGTACATTAATATACAATTCTCAACTACTGAACTTGTAGTCCCCCAACTGTCATGACCAAATACAGAAGAACAGATAGAAACAAATATAAATGTAATCTTTAATTCACCACCCTTTTCAAATGTGAAGTTTCCTGTGCCTACTTTTGCATAAAAATAAAAATATCAAAGTACAATCACACTCAAACAACTCATCTTGTTTGGAGCAAACACTGAAAACCATCAGCCTTTCCTTTCCCTTCTTATTTTATAGTAAAGCCTTATTTTATATTTGCTTAGGAAAAAATAATTTTAAAGACAAAATAATATTAATTTTTTAAGTGTCATAGTGCTATGAACTTTTGTCTCTCTGGAAGAAGAAAGGATGATAGAACAACAGACAGGGAGAAAATGTGGCACAAGAGATCACAAGGGCAGCAAAAAAAATCTAGATACAAATAGGATGGGTAAAACTTTACAGACTGTATACTTTACAGTCAATGGTTTTATAGTTAAAAAAAAATTACTTTTCCTTTTTTTTTTCCCCTCAGACACAACCATTTTCACCCTGCTTTGTATTTGTGAAAACTAAATTTTCAGTAAGGCCTTGCTACTCTTTGGTTTTGAAGGCCAAAAAAGAATTCTGAGCATGTGATCCTAGAAGATGTGTTTGGTTTAAGGACTTGCAGATAGGTGCTGTTTGCACCCCTATGTGCCTTGGAACACCTTGCCTTCAAATCCACTGCACACCCTTAGTTTCATTTACTTTACCATTTGAAACCACAGTGTTATTATTTTTCTGTCTTTCAAACACATATTGTTCCAGAAAATGCAACAAAATATATGGTTATGAAAGCATGAATGCTTTTCTATAAGATCCTTACCTTTTAAGGCTTCGTTAATATAATTCTCCAGATAATATATCCTCAACTTGTCATGAGATTCATTCTGCTCATCATCGATTCCACTGGCTACAATATAAATTGGGATATTGCCGTATTTATGTTTAACCCAACTGAGAAGCTTCCGTAGTCCCCAGGGCACCACTGGAGTTCGGCTGGGCGATTTCACCCAAGTGATATCATTTAGCATCTGGATATCAAGGAGGTTATCGTACTTTGTGGGAATTTCTTTTTCAGAATTGACAAGGATTGTGGTATAGTGACTTAGAGCAAAGAAGTCAAATGAGCCATATATTAGATTCTTCTCCTCTGCTGAGAAATAAGGTAACTGAAAATTATAAAAACCTAGATCATTTTTTTGGCGAAGCCACTGTCGCATCACTTCTGGATAGTCACCAGTCCCAAAGATGGGCTCCGCCAGCCAGCCAATGTCAAATTCCAAAACTCGCCTGGATGCCTCTTCATCCTTTTTTGAAAAGGGGCAGGCAGGCTCAACCCAGTCAGCATGTAAGGCAATTGATATTTTACCTTTTTGAGTCTTTCTGAATTTTTTATCATACAGGTGCCATGCTTTGGCATGTGCTTTCAAAAGATTATGTGCAGCTTTGTATGTCAAGTTCTTCACATTGGGTTCATTCATTGTGATCCAAAATTTGACATGTTGGCCAAAGTTTTTAAAACAGAACTGAGAATACGCAACAAAAGCTTCCACAGTATGATGGCTCTCCCATCCTCCATTGCTGGCCAGAGAACGAGGCAGTCCTTGATTCTTAGTCCCAGGTTGCCACAAAGCAACTACAGGAGTGATATTAACTCTGAGGAGTTCACGCACAAAACACTGATAGTAAAATAGAAGCGTTTGGTTAACAGTTGTCTCATTGCCAAAAGGGAGGATCAAAGGCCACATTAGTGAAAAATAAAAATGTGTAATGTGCATCTTCTGAAGTAAAGAAACCTGGAATCTGACAGCAGAAAAGTCAACACAGTGAGGCTTGCGTTTCAGAACACCACTTCCATTAATTTTAATGAGTTTCTTGGTTTGGTGAACATCCCATATATAAACATTAGGGTCAAGAAACTGAGTTCGAGTTGTATCTATCTAGAAGGAGAGAGGGAGAAAGGAATTCATTCTGTCACAAACAGAGAAAGCAACCACCCACCAATATCATCACAAAGGCAACTGAAAATGGTAGATGTTATCCTTTTTTCTTTTTTTCTTTTTTTTTGCTTAGGGCCAACTCTGAGTCAATTCCGCATTTCTGCCAACAGATCTAGTATAGGATAATTTCACACTGCCCATTTATCCCATGTAGGTTGCTTAGGGGCAAACAAAGCTCTCCCGTCCAGTAGCACACCATAAGGGAAATATCCAAGACTGAAAGATAATACATTTTGTAGTTGGTCTCTGGATGTGTATAGATATTTCACATGTGATACAGAGAGGAATCTAATATTTATGAAGAGCTTTGTCAGAGTATTCCACCATATTGGTGCAATTATAAAATACTTGTAATGAATCAGAGACAAAATTACCATCTGCTAGCACCAAAGAAAGACTGGAAAACCTTATTTGGTTTCCCCTTACCTGAAGAAAGTTTTCTGTGATCCCCCAAACAAAATTACAGGGGAAAGTCCCTTCAAAAGGTTGGCTTTCTGGTGTTGGGGGAAAACCGTTGTCTTCAATCAGCTTTTGGTAGAACAAGCCTGAAGATTTCAATATCATTTTTTTATCTCGGCTTTGAAAGTCAACATAAAATAAGCCCCGTCGAATATAGCCTCTGAGCCATTCAAAGCCATCCATGAGGGACCAAACTGTGTACCCGATCACAGAAACTCCATCATATCTGATAGCTGAAGAATAAACAACAAAGACAGAACTAATTTCTCTGTGCATTAAACGCTGTACACTTCAGAACAGCTACATCTGTTTTGTGGAAAATACTTTGGCTTAATAGAGCCTTCCAGATGATTCTGGAGCTGCAGTTCAAAAACACCTGGAGTTAACAAGTTAAACAAGGCTAGAATAATTCTTTTAAAAGAGAAACAGAATGGAACTAAATTTGGTGGTTTGGGAGAAGCCAACAAAAGAAATATTGAGTTAAAAAATGGGCCTTACCAGGCTGGAGAAAAACAATCCAGAAACAATTCCCCAAATGCATCTCTCTGGGAAAGAAAGCTGGCCACCAGCCCTGAATGCTGCCAACTCTTCCATTCTAAGACCTCATCTCTTGATGACATGACATGACTCAGAGCAGAGTATACACAACCTGTGCTTCTTGTGCTTCCCAGTGCACACAAACACACACAAGTCAATTCCACACTAGGGATGTACAGTGTTTCTAGAGTCATCAATTATAATATGGGCAGGTTTTATCACCTTATCACTTAATAATATCAATTCAACAATGGCTGGGTGATACTATGAAGATGAAATTATTCTAGACACAACATGAGGGGACAGCAGAAACAGAGAGATGCAATATATACAGATGTGCTTTCCCTATCTTTTTTGAGATGGCACTCCTTTCCTGCAATTCCCCTCCTATGATATCTAAAGTACACACAAAGTACATATGTGTGCATATGTGTGTCTTGTCTGTTTTACTGTAAATTGGCAAGATATAAACTGCAATAGTAAACAAGTATTATCTTAATTTAAAATTATAAATATACCACAATTTATCAAAGGCTGCAAAAATAAGAACATTTTATGTAAAATTAATACAACTTGACACCAGTATATAGTAAACTCAATTTTCCACAGGAAAATGATGTAGTTCAGCTGTTATTTAAAAATAAAAATTTCCTTCTGATGCATTTACCAGCACTTGAATTCATCTTCAAAGAGGTATAAATAGGAATATACGTGACTGAAGTACGGCTGCATAAACTTGTGGTAAAAGCAGAATAAGCTCTCAAATAATTATTTCTACTTCTTCATTAATGGGAAATAAATTATTTCAACCAGACCAAGAATTTGAATAGACTACTGCCCGAATATAAGACTACACGCCTGCTTGGTAATACTTGCTCAGCTATCTCAAGGCACTAAAACTAATCACTGGATAGTTTTCCCTTCAAGTGATTCTTTGGAAACCATATAACCAAGTATACAAGTGTTGCAAAGTAATATTAAGTCTTTTATCTTATTGCCATTACCAACAAAACAATATCCATTCTTGTTCAGAAAATATTTTTGCAATGATAGAGGATGGTAAATCCTATACTTTTGGAACATGGTTCTATAATGAGCTTCAATCAAGATTTCTCACATTCAAATATTTTCCCTCGTGTATGGAACTTTCCAAGGAACTCAGCTTACACACCCTTTCAGTTGTAACCTTCCCATGTTTTCCCATACCTCTTTCATACTGCATTTTCTTTACTAGGAAAATAAAATATTAAGGAAGAAAAGCAGGACAGCTACATACTGCTTAAACCATCTGTCTGCAAGCACCTGTTCATTAATGTTCAAATAGAATTTATTTAATTGACATAATACGAATAATGCTTCTCTTAAGTGGTATATATATTGACAAGAATGCCAATAGCAACCTTACCTTTTAATGTGTCCATAATGAAATTTTTAAGGTAATTCATATAATTAGAATCATCTGTCTTCGTATTTCCAGAAACAAACCAACTGTTCTCTACAATGAAGATCTGTGATGTATTATATTCCCTGTTTATCCAGTAAAGTAGCTGCCTCAGGTTCAGTGACTCCCGCTGCTGGAACAGCATGTCGGAATCCACCAGATGAAAACTTAATGTGGCTCCAAACGAAAGCGCAAAGAAATCAGCTGTTCCTCTGACTAACTTTTTTTCTGCTTCAGTGAATTCTGGTAATGTCAAGGAAAGATAATGCTTCATGCTCTGAGGATAGTCTCCGTCAATAAATATAGGCTTTGCAAACCAGCCCAGCACAAAGTCGAGAGATTTCTGACATTCCTCTATATTTTTTTCAGCCATGCTTTGAGGTTTTATCCAATGAGAACTTAAGGCAATTGATACGTGACCTTTTTGAGCAGGACGAAAATTGTCATTATAAAGATGCCACACTTTGGCATGGGCCTACAGAAAACAAAGAAATACACTAGTAAACCAATGTTACTATATTTGTTAATATTCTTATACTTTATTTATAAGGTCAAACAGAAGTATGTCACCAACTAATCAACAACAGAGGCCATGGCACTGTCTAAAAGTCTACAGCAAAATGAACTGGTTTCTATGGCTTTAAAAGCTGGGTGGGAATTGGGGGAAAATACCAGTCCTATTCTACTAATATAAACAGAAAACTTCACTGTGACTCTGAATGTTGGCCTGAAATATTTCATCCATCTCTACTGAATTGCAACAGGGTCAAAGCAAGGCCTCACCCCATAGCACCCATTTGAAATGATGCAATGGCCATCAACAAAACTAAAAATAACATATCACTTGGCAGCAAATTCTCTATATACAGGATTAAACAAGCAAACAAACAAATAAAAAAATGGAGCAATGCAGACATATGCTGTAAATGATCAATGGAAAGATACACATCATAATTAAATAACATCTCCTGCTGTGTTCCAAACTCAATATCAGAATCAATTCTTATGACTAAATGGCTTTTTCTCCAATTCATATTCTTATTTATAATCATACTCTTTTTTGTCTAACATTTTCTGCCTTTTGCATGATGTTGTTTACCCCAAGAGGACAAACTGAAGGCTACCATAATCTGAACTGCAACTACTGGAGGAAATTATTAACTGTTCCCTTCCATCTCCTGGTCATCCAGATTCTTGCAACTAAAATGTTCAAGCCCTAGTATGCACAAAAAGCTCTAGCAAACAGGCCAACAGAATATAATGTCCTAGATACCTTTTACTTCCACATCTATCAGGCATTAGTCAAAGTGAAAAGACAACAGTAGTATGCAATTCAAATTATTGTATTAACCTTTAAAACCTTACAGGCTCAGGACTCGGATGCCTGGGACCTCCTTCTCCATAATGATTTGAGCTGGCCTGTCCAGTCTGCACAGGAAGAGATGCTACAGGTCCCTTCAGCTTGAGAGGTCAAGGGGGTGGGGGCCTGGAAGTATTGCTTCTCTGTCACTGCCTCAACCCTTTGGAACAAACTCCTTCTCCACCAAGGTCTAGATGACCACCACCCTTGTCATATTCAGCAAAGCGTGGCTTTTCATACATGTTTTCAGAGAACAACATCTAGTGTTTGTTTTCCATTTTAAAAGGTTGGATTTATATATTTGTACTGTAGTTGAATGTGATTTTATTATTTTTATTACAATGTTTTGTAAATCACCTAGAATTTTCACAAGGGGCCAGTAAATAAATACCAGGAAATGAATAAATAAACAGCTACTTTTTTTTTTATTGTAGGGTAATGCAGGAAGCTTGAACCACATTGAGATCCAAGGAAAAAACATCTTTTATCTTTTGTCCAACCTTTTCCCCCCATTAATCCAGAATGGATCTGCTATATTATGTTATATTTATTGGAACATATCACATTTGGCAATGTAAGTGGCAGGCACGAAGAGGTCCAATCAAAACTAAAGTAAGAGGCAAAGGAGTAAAACCTTCTAGATTCCATACCACTTCTGAATCTCTATAGTTTTCCACATCACTCAAAAATAATAACAGAAAAAATACATATACAATCTATTTCTTAAAGAAATGTACAGAGTGGGTTCAAAGTTATGTTAAGCCATGACATAATTTGTTTATGGTATGTGCAGTATCTAAAACCAGCCACTGTGGTTTGTAAACTATGATTTATGCCTTAACATAACTTATGTACCCAAACAGCAAACTATTGTTAACAAAAATCATTGCTTAGCAGGTGTGAATCAGACATAGTTTAGCTCTAATCAGTCTTAGTATCTATTTACAGTCCTCTTAAAAGGATTCAGAAGTGTGACCTGTTTCACTACAAACCTGGCATACTGTTAGTAGCAATGATGTTTTGAACTCTGGATGCATCTGACATTAACCAGTAAGAACAAGCTAAGGGCACTGTCCCTGTAGAACAGTGTTTCTCAACCTTGGCAGCTTGAAGATATGTGGATTTCAACTCCCAGAATTCCCAGCCAGCATGCTGGCTGGAGATTTCTGGGAATTGAAGTCCACACATCTTCAATTTGCCAAGGTTGCAAAACACTGCTGTATTAAGAAAGAATACTCTAACTAGCTGTCTTTACTTTCCATGAAGTGTTTGAGAAATTAAATGTAAACTGATGTTCTCACAAACTGGATCATGCAGCATGCATTGCAGCAGGTCTCTCAACTGCAAAGGAAGAATTTGTGCATGAGAAAACACAAGAGGATAACTGATCTGTAGAGTCCTTGGAGTTCTCTGAGCTTGGTTGTTTTCTTGCAGACGTTTCATTGCCCAGCTAGGTAACATCTTCACTGCTCTAGTAACATCTCCCTTCTAGCTCTGAAGATGTTACCTAGTCGGGTAATGAAACGTCTGCAAGAAAACAATCAGGCTTAGGGAACCCCAAGGACTCTACAGTTCATCCCTGAGCTACAGATATTCTCTTCTATTGATAACTGATGTTTACTGAATAGGGAGATGAAATAAGCATCACCTGATGAAGGAAGTTCAGAGTTAAATAATAACGAAATTTATACCTTATCCCACCAATAACAAGCTAAACAGAGCATCCTAAAGTTTTGGCAAACCACAATACCTCGAACCTACATTATGCCTGCATCTGGAAAAAAAAAAGTATATGTGAAGATTTGCCTGTATTCCGAATTCATCATCATGAAGCCTTTATTACAGTGTTGTCCAAACTTGGCCACTTTAAGATGAGTGGACTTCAACTCCCAGAATTCCCCAGCCAGAAGTCCACTCATTTTAAAGTGGCCAAGTTTGGACAACACTGCTTTATTACAACCGTAAGGTCAGCAGTTAGATAAGAGTAAAAGCCTTTTGGCTAAGAGCAAGTGCATTCCAGGCTATTAAAATAACTGGCTCCCATATTTAAAGAGGGCCTTGGACAAACATCTTCCACACCCTCTCCTACTCCAAGGGGGCTTACAGGCGACCGTAAATAGCCATTTCAAAATTCCCACAATACCCTGGGATCAGTATCAGCAAATTTCTTTTATATATAATTTTTATTGAAGAAATTTTTAACAAGATAAAAACAATACAAATATTAAAAAAGAAACAAAGAAAATAAGAAAGAATAGTGAATGAGAAAAAAAATACAAACAGAAAGGAAAGGAAAAATTAAAAAAAAAATTACAAAGAAGCAGCTTCCAATCTTTTTGAAAGCTGTTACAAATGCATTTATATTTTACCCTAAGGTTACATCATACTTACCTTCTTTCCATAAGCTACCCTTTCTAATCC